AATAACGAAGAAGAAGGCAAAAAAGAAGGAGTAGAAGACTAAATAACGAAGAAGAAGGCAAAAAAGAAGGAGTAGAAGACTAAATAACGAAGAAGAAGGCAAAAAAGAAGGAGTAGAAGACTAAATAACGAAGAAGAAGGCAAAAAAGAAGGAGTAGAAGACTAAATAACGAAGAAGAAGGCAAAAAAGAAGGAGTAGAAGACTAAATAACGAAGAAAAAGGCGAAAAAAAGAAGGAGTAGAAGACTAAATAACAAAGAAGAAGGCAAACAAGAAGGAGTAGAAGACTAAATAACGAAGAAGAAGGCAAAAAAGAAGGAGTAGAAGACTAAATAACGAAGAAGAAGGCAAAAAAGAAGGAGTAGAAGACTAAATAACGAAGAAGAAGGCAAAAAAGAAGGAGTAGAAGACTAAATAACGAAGAAGAAGGCAAACAAGAAGGAGTAGAAGACTAAATAACGAAGAAGAAGGCAAAAAAAGAAGGAGTAGAAGACTAAATAACGAAGAAGAAGGCAAAAAAGAAGGAGTAGGAGACTAAATAACGAAGAAGAAGGCAAAAAAGAAGGAGCAGAAGACTAAATAACGAAGAAGAAGGCAAGCAAGAAGGAGTAGAAGACTAAATAACGAAGAAGAAGGCAAAAAAGAAGGAGTAGAAGACTAAATAACGAAGAAGAAGGCAAAAAAAGAAGGAGTAGAAGACTAAATAACGAAGAAGAAGGCAAAAAAGAAGGAGTAGAAGACTAAATAACGAAGAAGAAAGCAAAAAAGAAGGAGTAGAAGACTAAATAACGAAGAAGAAGGCAAAAAAGAAGGAGTAGAAGACTAAATAACGAAGAAAAAGGCAAAAAAGAAGAAGTAGAAGACTAAATAACGAAGAAGAAGGCAAAAAAGAAAGAGTAGAAGACTAAATAACGAAGAAGAAGGCAAAAAAAGAAAGAGTAGAAGACTAAATAACGAAGAAGAAGGCCAAAAAGAAGGAGTAGAAGACTAAATAACGAAGAAGAAGGCAAAAAAGAAGGAGTAGAAGACTAAATAACGAAGAAGAAGGCAAAAAAGAAGGAGTAGACGACTAAATAACGAAGAAGAAGGCAAAAAAGAAGGAGTAGAAGACTAAATAACGAAGAAGAAGGCAAAAAAGAAGGAGTAGAAGACTAAATAACGAAGAAGAAGGCAAAAAAGAAGGAGTAGAAGACTAAATAACGAAGAAGAAGGCAAAAAAAGAAGGAGTAGAAGACTAAATAACGAAGAAGAAGGCAAAAAAGAAGGAGTAGAAGACTAAATAACGAAGAAGAAGGCAAAAAAGAAGGAGTAGAAGACTAAATAACGAAGAAGAAGGCAAAAAAGAAGGAGTAGAAGACTAAATAACGAAGAAGAAGGCCAAAAAGAAGGAGTAGAAGACTAAATAACGAAGAAGAAGGCAAAAAAAGAAGGAGTAGAAGACTAAATAACGAAGAAGAAGGCAAAAAAAGAAGGAGTAGAAGACTAAATAACGAAGAAGAAGGCAAAAAAGAAGGAGTAGAAGACTAAATAACGAAGAAGAAGGCAAAAAAAGAAGGAGTAGAAGACTAAATAACGAAGAAGAAGGCAAAAAAGAAGGAGTAGAAGACTAAATACCGAAGAAGAAGGCAAAAAAAGAGGGGTAGAAGACTAAATAACGAAGAAGAAGGCAAAAAAGAAGGAGTAGAAGACTAAATAACGAAGAAGAAGGCAAAAAAGAAGGAGTAGAAGACTTAATAACGAAGAAGAAGGCAAAAAAAAGAAGAAGTAGAAGACTAAATAACAAAGAAGAAGGCAAAAAAGAAGGAGTGGAAGACTAAATAACGAAGAAGGCAAAAAAGAAGAAGTAGAAGACTAAATAACGAAGAAGAAGGCAAAAAAGAAGGAGTAGAAGACTAAATAACGAAGAAGAAGGCAAAAAAGAAGGAGTAGAAGACTAAATAACGAAGAAGAAGGCAAAAAAGAAGGAGTAGAAGACTAAATAACGAAGAAGAAGGCAAAAAAGAAGGAGTAGAAGACTAAATAACGAAGAAGAAGGCAAAAAAGAAGGAGTAGAAGACTTAATAACGAAGAAGAAGGCAAAAAAAAGAAGGAGTAGAAGACTAAATAACAAAGAAGAAGGCAAAAAAGAAGGAGTAGAAGACTAAATAACAAAGAAGAAGGCAAAAAAGGAGGAGTAGAAGACTAAATAACGAAGAAGAAGGCAAAAAAGAAGGAGTAGAAGACTAAATAACGAAGAAGAAGGCAAAAAAGAAGGAGTAGAAGACTAAATAACGAAGAAGAAGGCAAAAAAGAAGGAGTAGAAGACTAAATAACGAAGAAGAAGGCAAAAAAGAAAGAGTAGAAGACTAAATAACAAAGAAGAAGGCAAAAAGGAAGGAGTAGAAGACTAAATAACAAAGAAGAAGGCAAAAAAAAAGGAGTAGAAGACTAAATAACGAAGAAGAAGGCAAAAAAGAAGGAGTAGAAGACTAAATAACGAAGAAGAAGGCAAAAAAGAAGGAGTAGAAGACTAAATAACGAAGAAGAAGGCAAAAAAGAAGGAGTAGAAGACTAAATAACGAAGAAGAAGGCAAAAAAAGAAGGAGAAGAAGACTAAATAACGAAGAAGAAGGCAAAAAAGAAGGAGTAGAAGACTAAATAACGAAGAAGAAGGCAAAAAAGAAGGAGTAGAAGACTAAATAAAGAAGAAGAAGGCAAAAAAGAAGGAGTAGAAGACTAAATAACGAAGAAGAAGGCAAAAAAGAAGGAGTAGAAGACTAAATAACGAAGAAGAAGGCAAAAAGGAAGGAGTAGAAGACTAAATAACGAAGAAGAAGGCAAAAAAGAAGGAGTAGAAGACTAAATAACGAAGAAGAAGGCAAAAAAGAAGGAGTAGAAGACTTAATAACGAAGAAGAAGGCAAAAAAAGAAGGAGTAGAAGACTAAATAACAAAGAAGAAGGCAAAAAAGAAGGAGTGGAAGACTAAATAACGAAGAAGGCAAAAAAGAAGAAGTAGAAGACTAAATAACGAAGAAGAAGGCAAAAAAGAAGGAGTAGAAGACTAAATAACGAAGAAGAAGGCAAAAAAGAAGGAGTAGAAGACTAAATAACGAAGAAGAAGGCAAAAAAGAAGGAGTAGAAGACTAAATAACGAAGAAGAAGGCAAAAAAGAAGGAGTAGAAGACTAAATAACGAAGAAGAAGGCCAAAAAAGAAGGAGTAGAAGACTTAATAACGAAGAAGAAGGCAAAAAAAGAAGGAGTAGAAGACTAAATAACAAAGAAGAAGGCAAAAAAGAAGGAGTAGAAGACTAAATAACAAAGAAGAAGGCAAAAAAGGAGGAGTAGAAGACTAAATAACGAAGAAGAAGGCAAAAAAGAAGGAGTAGAAGACTAAATAACGAAGAAGAAGGCAAAAAAGAAGGAGTAGAAGACTAAATAACGAAGAAAAAGGCAAAAAAGAAGGAGTAGAAGACTAAATAACGAAGAAGAAGGCAAAAAAGAAGGAGTAGAAGACTAAATAACGAAGAAGAAGGCAAAAAAGAAGGAGTAGAAGACTAAATAACGAAGAAGAAGGCAAAAAAGAAGGAGTAGAAGACTTAATAACGAAGAAGAAGGCAAAAAAAGAAGGAGTAGAAGACTAAATAACGAAGAAGAAGGCAAAAAAGAAGGAGTAGAAGACTAAATAACGAAGAAGAAGGCAAAAAAGAAGGAGTAGAAGGCTAAATAACGAAGAAGAAGGTAAAAAAGAAGGAGTAGAAGACTAAATAACGAAGAAGAAGGCAAAAAAGAAGGAGTAGAAGACTAAATAACGAAGAAGAAGGCAAAAAAGAAGGAGTAGAAGACTAAATAACGAAGAAGAAGGCAAAAAAGAAGGAGTAGAAGACTAAATAACGAAGAAGAAGGCAAAAAAGAAGGAGTAGAAGACTAAATAACGAAGAAGAAGGCAAAAAAGAAGGAGTAGAAGACTAAATAACGAAGAAGAAGGCAAAAAAGAAGGAGTAGAAGACTATGAAGCTGTCGGGGCCGTGGCAAGTACAAGTCCAGAAAAATCCCAATAAAAGCAGGCAGAGGTTTTGGATGATGTTGATGAGGAGGACAAACGATCCGTCTTCTTTCGAATTTATTTTCAGAGTAGTGAAAAAAAAGAGAGCAGTACAACTAACATGGCGACAGGTACCTTTTGTTACCAGAGATGCTCCCCTGGCGACATTGCCCCTTGTTCAGCTTGAACATTCTCCCCCCCCACACAAGAGGAATGCTTGCGATCTACGAGAGGGAGCATCGTCCGGAAAGGATCCATCCCAGCGTCGTATTTTGTGCCATCGGCAAGCCGTCCTGACCCGGGAGGATACCCGGCAGCATCAGGTCAGCGTAAACGTCCGCTCCCAGCACAACCGACACTAGCGATGGGTGGAACCACCGGTCATCCGCCAATGTGACATTCTGAAACATGTCCTGCACCTTCGGGTCCAGCGGTTGCCCCGGCGTTCGTGTCTGCATCTGCTCGTCCACCAGCATCAGAAGCTGCTTGCTCATCTTGGAGGCCTTGGAGCGCATCTCGGTGGTGCACACCCGTTGGTCGCCAATGCCCGTGATGGCCAGATTAAGGGCTTTAACCAGGGAGATGTGGATGCGACTCACAGGACAGCACGGATCCACCAGGGCTCGGACATCAAACCGCTTTTGGTCGGATCCGATTAGCACGGACGCGGTCGGGAGGATGCTAACACTTGTGCGCGCCAGGATAGGCGTGCACGACCGGCTGCGGGATGGAGACATATCCATTGGCGTGGCGGGCCGCCGAGATCCGGATACAGGCGCCTTATGGCGCTGCTGTGACTGACGCTGAGGCCGAGAATCCGAGGGTGGGTTGCGCCTTTGTCGGGGTCGCGAAGAGCGAGGCTGCCCAGTGTGGATGTGTAGCAGCGTGTGATGAGCCTCATGGCATATATGACACCTCGCTGTACTGCGGCACGACCGACCGGAGTGCTCGTGTGCCAGACAGTTTGCGCAGTACTTGTTAATGAGTACCGCGCGGAGCCGCTTCACAGCCGGCAGTTGGAGAAACCGTCGGCAAACCCTCAGTGCGTGGACTCCCCTGCAGACTCGACATCTGTATACATTGCTCCCGGATGAGCGACGAGGATTTTGGTGGGTCGTTGGAGCCATTGTATACACGGATCTAAATTAAAAGAGAGAGATGGATAAATATGATAATGAAATGTTATGGATGAGGATGAACAAGACACGTGGACGGAACGACGACGTTGGATGACACAACTTAGGACTAGTACATGTCAATTGGAAGGATTACTCTATTGAGGAGTCACTGTGGTCAATGGGGCCGTCCATTGGGAGGCGAATCATTTTCGCCACTGGCCGTCGGATGACGCCCCGTGCTGTAAGCACGTCTGCAACTCTGACCTTGCCGTCGGCGCCCGGATATACCAACTGGATACGCCCAAGCCGCCATTCGTTGGCTGGCAAGCTCTCCTCCTTGATCACAACCATGTCTCCCGCTTGGAGATCTCGTGATGGGAACTTCCATTTGTTCCTTTTGTGGAGCTCCTTCAGATATTCCTCCTTCCAACGCACACAGAACTGCTGATGCAGGGCCTTCAACCTCCGCCACCGATTGATGATGGAAATAGGATTTTCCTCAATCAGAGGCTCCGATACCGCAAGAAGTGGTCCACCAATTAGAAAATGTCCGGGGCTAAGAGCCACAAGGTCAGTGGGATCTTCGGACATTGGTGAAATAGGCCTGGAGTTTAAACAGGCCTCAATTTTCGCAAGGAGGGTAGCCAGTTCTTCGAAGGTGTACTTCCCTGCTGCTGTGTACTTGTAGAAGTGAGCCTTGAAACTTTTCACACCCGCCTCCCAGAGCCCTCCCATGTGAGGCGCGCCAGGAGGGTTGAAATGCCAGTCCAAGTTCTGAAGGCTGTGTTTGGAGAGGATCAGTGTTCTGGTTGATTCCATAAAGTCTCTGGATAAGGACGTGGAGGCTCCGACGAACGTTTTCCCGTTGTCAGAGTAGACATGTTGTGGACACCCACGGCGAGCAGAAAAACGAGAGAAGGCAGCTAAAAATTTCTCTGTCGTCAAGTCGGACGTCGCTCCGAGATGGATGGCCCTGGTACTAAAGCAAACAAAAACGCAGACGTACCCCTTTGTGACTTTGCAGCCTCGACCGACATAACTCTTGATGTCAAATGGCCCCGCGAAATCCATGCCTGTATGAGTGAATGGCCTGGAGAAAGAGGATCTCGCCCGGGGTAAATCCCCCATCAACTGCCTCTGCAGGTTCTTCTTGTGGATGACACAAACTCGGCACGAGTGGATTGTGTGTTTCACCAACCTCTGAAGCTTAGGAATCCAGAATTTAGACCGAATCAGTCTTACCATTAACTGATTCCCCCATGCAAGGATATGCGATGGGTAAACAGGGCTTGTAGTTTCGCGAACCTACATCGCGCTGGGATGATGATAGGATGTTTTTCATCATAACTGAGCATGTCAGATGCTTGTAAACGGCCGCTTGCTCTCAAGACCCCCTTTCTGTCAAGAAAGGGGTTTAAGTTAGAAATTGTACTTGAGGATGGAATTTGCTGCTTGTTACTTAAAGCCTTATATTCGACGGGGAACTCGTTCTTTTGAGTGAACACGATTAATCGCTCTTGCACGTCGGACAACTCCGCCGAAGTGAGTGCTGCCGATGGGGGTATGTCTTCCTTTTTGCAATTTTTCGCAAAACGGATCACGTATGCTAGAACCCGCAGCGCCCTGTCGAAGGTTGAAAAACGCTCTAGGATATCCACTGCTGGCGGCACTGTGGCACTGTGACATTTGATAGGCCGTTGCTCCATCTCGGTTTCCGGATTAACCAGTGGTTCACTCGGCCACTGCTCCTGCTTGAGTGGCAGCCAAGCCGGCCCGTGCCACCAAAGTGTGCTGTCCTTAAGCTCTTGGGGCGAGACGCCTCGGCTTGCCAGATCAGCTGGATTGTCTTCGGATCGTACATGGCCCCATTTGCTTTCGTTGGTGCGCTGTTCGATCTTTGCGACCCTGTTGGCCACGAATGTCGTCCAGGTGCATGCTGGCTTGCCTAGCCATGCAAGAACTATAGTAGAGTCTGTCCAATAAAAAATCTCATAAGCTTTAGGAGGCAATTCGGAAATTACTGATGCTGCTAGCTCAGTGAGCAGCACTGCTCCGCACAACTCCAGGCGGGGTATGGAGATGGACCTGACGGGAGCGACTCTGGTCTTGGATGCCAGCAAATGGGCACAACAGCCGTCAGCCGTTTCGACTCGGACGAAAATAGCAGCCCCATACGCGTCCTGTGACGCATCGCAAAACGCATGGTACTGCACCTTGGCAGCAGGATGGAAACGCACCCACCTCGGAATACGAATTTCCCTCAGGGTCGGATACCCTTTCAAAAACTCTTGCCACTTGGTCACAAGGTCGGTGGGGAGTGGCTGATCCCAGCCTAGCTCCCGTAGCCAAATTTCCTGCATGAAAATCTTGGCTCGGATTACGAAAGGCGATAACCACCCTGCCGGGTCGAACAGTTTGGCTATTTGAGACAAAACCTCTCGTTTGGTGTAGGCAGGTTGCAGGGAGATCACCATTGGAACAAAAAAGAAACTATCGGATGTAGCTTGCCAACGGATCCCAAGAGTTTTCGCCGTGCTGGCATCTTCCAGCTCAAGGAAGTCTGCACTGACCAAATGTTCCCTCGGAATCGCTTGTAGGAGTCTCCTTTCGTTTGAGGTCCACTTGCGCAGTGGAAAACCGGCACTCTCGAGAGCCAGCCGAAGCTCTTTAATGGCTAAAACTGCCGACTGCTGAGTGTGAGCCCCTGCGAGCACATCGTCCACGTACATGAAGTTCGAAATGATGTCGCTGGCCAAAGGATATTGGCCTCGGATGTCCTGAGCCAACTGCTGAAGCACTCTGATGGCCAGGAAGGGCGCACAATTTACGCCGAAGGTGACTGTGTCGAGTTCATAGTCACAGAGCTCACCGTATTTGTTGCGGAATAAGATTCTCTGAAAGCGCGTGTGATCAGGATTGACCCGGATTTGCCGATACATCTTTGTGATGTCCGCATTGAAAACATACTTAAAGAAACGCCATTTTAGAATCTGAATAGTCAGATCGGACTGTAGTACAGGCCCCGCATGAAGGATATCATTGAGGCTGTTCCCGTTTGATGAGGGATTGGAAGCGTTGAACACGACGCGAACCTTCGTCGTGGTGCTATCTGGTTTGAAGACAGCGTGATGAGGCAGATAAAAACTGCTAGAGTCGTCAGGGGAGACTTGGTGCATATGACCTAAGTCTAAGTACTCTCGAATGACTGAGTCGTACTGCTCCTTCAATGGAAGATCTTTACTTAATCGCATTTCGTTTCGGAGGTACTGAGCTAGTGCGATGGGTCTGGAATGTCCAAGCTTAATATTGTCCGGCTCTTTAAAGGGCAACGAAACAACATATCTTCCATCCTCACTTCTTTTGGTGGATCGGATAAAGTTCTCCTCGCAAACCGAGGTGGATTCCTTAACCAGCTTCACTGGAACATCCTCCACCTCCCAAAATTTTCTGAGGATGCTGTCTAGTTTGGATTCCTTGACTGCTAATCGGGCTGAAAAGGAGCAGACTCTGCTTGTGGGACTCGCTGCAATCGGACCGCAAAGAATCCACCCGAATATGGTCTCTTGACCCAGGAGTGTTCCACAAATATTGGAATGGGAGCCGCTTAGGAGGATCGATGGCAGGATATCGGCACCAATAAGCACGTCAATCTGCGAGCTTCGGAAGAAATTTGGATCTGCTAGTTGCAACGGTGGAAGATCCTTTAATGAGGCCTCTGGTAGAGTGTAGGATGGGAGATTACCAGCTAACTGGGGTAACACGTATGCACAAGTTTCAATCTGGATATGGGGCTTGACGGAAGAACCTATGATGAGTTGACACCTCTTACGAGGCTGAGCGGCAACGGAAAGGTTGACCCCCGAAACTTGGGCTTGAATGGACTCATATGGCAACTTAATTAGGTTGAACAACCGTTCTGAGATGAAGGTTGCCTCGGAACCTGAGTCAATGAGTGCCCGTGCTGAGTATTTTATGCCCAAATGGCAAACTTCTATCAATGCCGTACTCAGTAGGACCCCTTGCGTGTTAACGGCAAGAAACGTTTGCACATTCGCTTGACTCGTCGATGGAGTGGACTGTATCTGTTGCTGGGTTGCTGTGGATGGATGGGACTGCTGGTCAGGCATAACCACTGAATGGACTGGCAGAGGGGTACTTCGATGCAGGAGAGTATTGTGACGTCCATTGCAGGTGTAGCAATTATGCGTACTGTTGCAATCCCGGAGCAGATGCGTTCTTGCGAAACAGTTTAAGCACAACTTCTGCTGTTTTACATGTTTCTCTCGATCTGCGACTGACATGCGTAAGAATAGAGGACATAATCGGACTGGATGGTTCTCCTGTGCGCAGAGTTTGCAGGATTGCGGGTTTACCGTAACTCTGTTTTCGAAGGTCTGGATCGACCGCGAGCTATTTTCAGCCCTCAGTGCCCTGGATTGAACGCTCGCGTTTGGCTTGAACTCCTCAATCGCCTCAAGCGTTCGATGACGATCTTTTAAGAAAGCCTGGAATTCAGCCCAAAGTGGAATCTCTGACTTATTTAGCAGGGACTGTTCCCACAGAGCCAAAGTTAGTTTTGGCAACTTGGACGAGCACAGGAAAACAAGCAGGCAATCCCAATTCGTGGTCTCGACTCTTGCTAATTGCAGGGCCGTTAAACAACCTTGGATTGTGCTCTCTAAATGCTTCAAGGATTTTCCGCATTCCTGGGCAACAGAAGGCAAATTAAACAAGATCTTTAATTGGCTATTGACCAGCAGCCTCTTGTTCTCGAACCGATTCTGCAAGTTTCTCCACGCTGACTCAAAACCATCATTGGTCAACGGAGATAAGGCCACAATGGATTTGGCCTCGCCGCTCGTCTTTGCATTGAGATGGAACAGTTTTTCGACTTCTGAAAGCCGAGGATTGCGTACATAGATGGCGGAGAAAAGGTCCCGAAATGTGGGCCATTGAACATAGTCACCATTGAAAACTTCGCACTCAACTGGAGGTAGGCGACATCCGCCCTGAGACGGCATTAGATTGGAGGACTGAACAGACTGTGGCGCGCGTGAATTTTCAATGATCTCATTGAGGTTTGCTGCGCACCGCTCGTAAACGGTATAACAGTAGTCATACTTGGATTGCATGACTGTTATTGTGTCTTTGCAGTTTTGACTGGCCAGCACTTCGGAGCACGTCTCGTACTCCCTTTCCACCTTGTCCCAGAGAGCCCTGATCTGCTCGAGTCGAACCCTACTCGTGTGGATGGACGGACCTTGGTCAGTCGGGGTGTTGAATCTGGCTTCGAACTGACCCATCCTATCGGTTATGGTCGTGAATTTCACCAAAGCCTTGTCTCCCTCAGCTTGAGCCCTTTTTTCAGTTGCTCTAGTGACCTGGGAAGACACGACTGATTTCGCGGCCCTTGTGGATGGTGCAGACGGTAGAACTTCGAGCGACGTGCTCGTAGATTTACGTGGAGTGGTGGTTGCTAATGGGCTTTTGCTTCGAGAGGGATTTTCGTTTTCGGAAGGCACAGAGGATTCACTCGTTGCCCTGCCTCTGGAAGACGCCTCCGCTGTAGAAACGGTCAGACGGGGTTTTGGTTCCTCACCGTCGCCGTTTTCCATGTTAAACTCTTGTTGGGGCCGCTGGATAAGCGCAGGAAAACAGAGTTAATCGAAAAAATTATATTTATCGATTTGGAATAAGTGCAGGGACGCTGGATAAGCGTAAATAAACAAATAATACTCGAAAAGGATGTTATCGATTTTTTTTTTTTTTTTAAATGAAAACAGGGACGCTGGATAAGCGCAGGAAAACAGAGTTAGTCGAAAAAATTATATTTATCGATTTGGAATAAGTGCAGGGACGCTGGATAAGCGTAAATAAACAAATAATACTCACCATCCGCCACGCCAATGGATATGTCTCCATCCCGCAGCCGGTCGTGCACGCCTATCCTGGCGCGCACAAGTGTTAGCATCCTCCCGACCGCGTCCGTGCTAATCGGATCCGACCAAAAGCGGTTTGATGTCCGAGCCCTGGTGGATCCGTGCTGTCCTGTGAGTCGCATCCACATCTCCCTGGTTAAAGCCCTTAATCTGGCCATCACGGGCATTGGCGACCAACGGGTGTGCACCACCGAGATGCGCTCCAAGGCCTCCAAGATGAGCAAGCAGCTTCTGATGCTGGTGGACGAGCAGATGCAGACACGAACGCCGGGGCAACCGCTGGACCCGAAGGTGCAGGACATGTTTCAGAATGTCACATTGGCGGATGACCGGTGGTTCCACCCATCGCTAGTGTCGGTTGTGCTGGGAGCGGACGTTTACGCTGACCTGATGCTGCCGGGTATCCTCCCGGGTCAGGACGGCTTGCCGATGGCACAAAATACGACGCTGGGATGGATCCTTTCCGGACGATGCTCCCTCTCGTAGATCGCAAGCATTCCTCTTGTGCGGGGGGGGAGAATGTTCAAGCTGAACAAGGGGCAATGTCGCCAGGGGAGCATCTCTGGTAACAAAAGGTACCTGTCGCCATGTTAGTTGTACTGCTCTCTTTTTTTTCACTACTCTGAAAATAAATTCGAAAGAAGACGGATCGTTTGTCCTCCTCATCAACATCATCCAAAACCTCTGCCTGCTTTTATTGGGATTTTTCTGGACTTGTACTTGCCACGGCCCCGACAGCTTCATTTTTGATCGATTTGGGTATGAACCAAGGAAAAAAAAATATGTAGAATGAATTATTCGGAGACAAATAAATGTTTGTCGAAAAATACTGTGGGGTTGGAAGTGCAGACAAAAGGATTAATCGAAAATGTATGCTTATCGCCTTTTTAGATATACTTGGACGCTGGATAATGCGTACCAAAAAATAATCGGAACGGTGTACACGATTCAAAAAAATTAGGTTGTAAATTAGTCGAATTAAAACTCAAAACCAATAATACAAAAAAAATGCACCCAAGTGTGAACGGCTCATTAACAGACTCAGCCGGTAATACTGTCGCAACCTTGGCGGCCAGTACTTACATACATATGTATTTACGCAAAATAAACAAATAAAGAACTATTAAAATCGCAGATTTTTTTAATTTTGTTTGTTTCACTTTGTTTGTGTTCGGATGCAGCGACACTTTTAGCTGCCGATGCTCAATTGCCGGTCCAGCAATTTGTATGGATATGTGCATATATGTGTGCACGTATGTATGATCGGCCAGCTGGAGGAGGGGGTTAACTTTATTTATCTTTTGTTTTGTTGTTAATGTGCAGTGGATGGAAAATACATATGTACATATATTTATTGTGGATAGGATGTCTTTTTTCTCCTCTTTAAATGCCGCAGATTTGTGACCCAAAGGTAACATACATATGTCCATACATAGGTTCATAGATCGGCCATGTACATAAATGTGTATGCAATTGCCGGTCCAGCAATTTGTATGGATATGTGCATATGTATATGTATGTACGTATGCACGTATGATCGGCCAGCCAGAGGAGGGAGATAACTTTATTTATCCCCTTTTTTTCTTGTTTTATTATTGTGCGGTGGATAAAAAAATGTACATATATTTATTGTGGATGGGATGTGTTTTTTTGTTTTAAATGCCGCCGATTTGTGACCCAAAGGTAATGAACATACGTATGTACATATGTATGTTCATAGATCGGCAATGTACACAAATGCGTATGCAAATAACTCGGTGTGGATGTATGGCTTTTTATGTGCGGAAAAATGGATGTCAGCCTTCCTGGATATTGGCTGATTTAAAACATGTATAGGAGAGGGGCATATAGCTATGTAAACACATGCATATACATATATATCCTACTGCACAAGTTGGTAGAGTTTTAAATAAATTGGATGCAGCAATATATCTACATATATGTATATGCAAGTATGTACATACATATATGGTGGGAATTTCGGCACCGTACTTATCTTGGCAAAAAGCGCTGGAATATCTCGGGCGAAGGACCAAAAATGAAGCTGTCGGGGCCGTGGCAAGTACAAGTCCAGAAAAATCCCAATAAAAGCAGGCAGAGGTTTTGGATGATGTTGATGAGGAGGACAAACGATCCGTCTTCTTTCGAATTTATTTTCAGAGTAGTGAAAAAAAAGAGAGCAGTACAACTAACATGGCGACAGGTACCTTTTGTTACCAGAGATGCTCCCCTGGCGACATTGCCCCTTGTTCAGCTTGAACAGACTAAATAACGAAGAAGAAGGCAAAAAAGAAGGAGTAGAAGACTAAATAACGAAGAAGAAGGCAAAAAAAGAAGGAGTAGAAGACTAAATAACGAAGAAGAAGGCAAAAAAAAGAAGGAGTAGAAGACTAAATAACGAAGAAGAAGGCAAAAAAGAAGGAGTAGAAGACTAAATAACGAAGAAGAAGGCAAAAAAGAAGGAGTAGAAGACTAAATAACGAAGAAGAAGGCAAAAAAGAAGGAGTAGAAGACTAAATAACGAAGAAGAAGGCAAAAAAGAAGGAGTAGAAGACTAAATAACGAAGAAGAAGGCAAAAAAGAAGGAGTAGAAGACTAAATAACGAAGAAGAAGGCAAACAAGAAGGAGTAGAAGACTAAATAACGAAGAAGAAGGCAAAAAAGAAGGAGTAGAAGACTAAATAACGAAGAAGAAGGCAAAAAAGAAGGAGTAGAAGACTAAATAACGAAGAAGAAGGCAAAAAAAGAAGGAGTAGAAGACTAAATAACGAAGAAGAAGGCAAAAAAGAAGGAGTAGAAGACTAAATAACGAAGAAGAAGGCAAAAAAGAAGGAGTAGAAGACTAAATAACGAAGAAGAAGGCAAAAAAAGAAGGAGTAGAAGACTAAATAACGAAGAAGAAGGCAAAAAAGAAGGAGTAGAAGACTAAATAACGAAGAAGAAGGCAAAAAAGAAGGAGTAGAAGACTAAATAACGAAGAAGAAGGCAAAAAAGAAGGAGTAGAAGACTAAATAACGAAGAAGAAGGCAAAAAAGAAGGAGTAGAAGACTAAATAACGAAGAAGAAGGCAAAAAAGAAGGAGTAGAAGACTAAATAACGAAGAAGAAGGCAAAAAAGAAGGAGTAGAAGACTAAATAACGAAGAAGAAGGCAAAAAAGAAGGAGTAGAAGACTAAATAACGAAGAAGAAGGCAAAAAGAAGGAGTAGAAGACTAAATAACGAAGAAGAAGGCAAAAAAAGAAGGAGTAGAAGACTAAATAATAAAGAAGAAGGCAAAAAGAAGGAGGCTAATAACGAAGAAAGCAAAAAGAAGGAGTAGAAGACTAAATAACGAAGAAGAAGGCAAAAAAAGAAGGAGTAGAAGACTAAATAACGAAGAAGAAGGCAAAAAAGAAGGAGTAGAAGACTAAATAACGAAGAAGAAGGCAAAAAAGAAGGAGTAGAAGACTAAATAACGAAGAAGAAGGCAAAAAAGAAGGAGTAGAAGACTAAATAACGAAGAAGAAGGCAAAAAAGAAGGAGTAGAAGACTAAATAACGAAGAAGAAGGCAAAAAAGAAGGAGTAGAAGACTAAATAACGAAGAAGAAGGCAAAAAAAGAAGGAGTAGAAGACTAAATAACGAAGAAGAAGGCAAAAAAGAAGGAGTAGAAGACTAAATAACGAAGAAGAAGGCAAAAAAGAAGGAGTAGAAGACTAAATAACGAAGAAGAAGGCAAAAAAGAAGGAGTAGAAGACTAAATAACGAAGAAGAAGGCAAAAAAGAAGGAGTAGAAGACTAAATAACGAAGAAGAAGGCAAAAAAGAAGGAGTAGAAGACTAAATAACGAAGAAGGAAGGCAGGAAAAGAAGGAGTAGAAGACTAAATAACGAAGAAGAAGGCAAAAAAGAAGGAGTAGAAGACTAAATAACGAAGAAGAAGAAAAAAAAAGAAGGAGTAGAAGACTAAATAACGAAGAAGAAGGCAAAAAAAGAAGGAGTAGAAGACTAAATAACGAAGAAGAAGGCAAAAAAGAAGGAGTAGAAGACTAAATAACGAAGAAGAAGGCAAAAAAAGAAGGAGTAGAAGACTAAATAACGAAGAAGAAGGCAAAAAAAGAAGGAGTAGAAGACTAAATAACGAAGAAGAAGGCAAAAAAGAAGGAGTAGAAGACTAAATAACGAAGAAGAAGGCAAAAAAGAAGGAGTAGAAGACTAAATAACGAAGAAGAAGGCAAAAAAGAAGGAGTAGAAGACTAAATAACGAAGAAGAAGGCAAAAAGAAGGAGTAGAAGACTAAATAACGAAGAAGAAGGCAAAAAAAAGAAGGAGTAGAAGACTAAATAACGAAGAAGAAGGCAAAAAAAGAAGGAGTAGAAGACTAAATAACGAAGAAGAAGGCAAAAAAGAAGGAGTAGAAGACTAAATAACGAAGAAGAAGGCAAAAAAAGAAGGAGTAGAAGACTAAATAACGAAGAAGAAGGCAAAAAAAGAAGGAGTAGAAGACTAAATAACGAAGAAGAAGGCAAAAAAGAAGGAGTAGAAGACTAAATAACGAAGAAGAAGGCAAAAAAAGAAGGAGTAGAAGACTAAATAACGAAGAAGAAGGCAAAAAAAGAAGGAGTAGAAGACTAAATAACGAAGAAGAAGGCAAAAAAGAAGGAGTAGAAGACTAAATAACGAAGAAGAAGGCAAAAAA